GAGGGGGAGAGGGAGAAAGAAAGATAAAAAGAAAATGGAAAAGAAGAAGGAAGGAAGGAAGGAAATTTAACTAGGCTGACTGGAAGAGGATAATATGTTTGAACGGCTACTTTTTTTACAAACAAGCAAATAAAGCAATTTAAGTAGAACCTACGTAGTCCATATCTGTGTGCAAATACGCATATAGAAAAAGGCAAAAATGTTCTACACTTGAATTTCTGCGGGCCTTTCTCTTCCCAGTGTTTACAAGGCGGGGCTCCATTTGCAAGTTGTACATCTGTTCGCTTCACGTGACATTTTCATAAAAGCTCTAACATCTGGTCAAAATAAACCTCCTTCAGGTACCTGCTTAACTTTTCACATGTCAAAATCCCTTCCTCGCTGAAGCTGTCCTTTCCCCCACGGCTCTAGCCGTGTCTGGTGCTCCTTTCTTGACTGCTTGTTTAATGACTCTACCTCGTCCCGAACAGAACAAAGCAATCCTAAACTTTCAGGGGCGACCCCGACCCTTCCCAAGAGCATCATTCCCCCTCTCGCCCCCTCCCGTCTCCAGTTTTCCCCGCATTAGGAGGACAGAATATGTGCCCTTCACCACCGCACGATATTGCGGCGGGATTTCTGCATCCCAGCCAACAGAGTTTGCGGTCCCCCCTCCAAGCGAACTCACAGTCCTGCTCGGGCTAATATTTTGCACAAACACTGATAAAGCTCCGAAAACCAAATGATCAGCACCTAATTCTCACAAACCTATTTGTTATTATTTCTGCTATTATTCATTGCGAGTGTTAATAGTTGTAGCCGTCTTGATGTTAGCGTGGTTCATCTGGATTGTTTTGGAGTGAAACACGTCCTCTTTTGCGTGTGTCCATACGGTGAAAAAGAGGTTTTCTGTAAAGCTTCTGTAAATTTGATATCATCTCTTTATGAAAAGGGTGGGGAAGTGTCTGCTACCCAAGATGAGACGACTACCTAAATAAGAGGAGTGTAAGTGTTCCTGAGCGGGCGAGGGAGAAAGGGAATTACTGAGAGAACGGACAATTATTCCCCGATCCTAGTATTTTAGTTTTGTTTTGCGTTTTATTTCGGATATTTAGACGAGTGTTACCATCATCATTATGTTTCCGGAGCTTTATTGTTCTTGCTCTGTAACACCCTTCTAAGCCTCCCGCAATCTCGATCACTTGGTTCTTATAAATGGCCGGCTTGTTTGCTTTTAAAAAAGAAAAGGGGGACTTTTGTACAAGTGATTTTAACCTGCTCCACCTTCAAGTGACCTGCCAAATGCTCCTTCTTACTTTATAGACATCTGGGAATTCCATACATGCCTTAAACTCCAATTACACACCTTCTTCAAAGGACACGTGCTTTGATTTGCCAAGAACATTAAGTGGACTGAAGTCGAAAGAAGCTGGTGCAGAAGTTAATGTAAAATACATCCTGTACCCTGTTTACTGCGGGCAGGTTATGTGTGCAGTAAATAAGTCTCGGTGGGATGCGGATGTGTGTCCCTCTTTTTTTTCACTTTAGCCTCCCGGATCCCTCTACGGAGTGGACTGGACTTGCCGTCACCACTACCACCACCCTCTTCCTAAAGATGCTAATTTATGGCGGGAGCGCTCCCGCTCTCCCGGTGGGTCCCCGGCCTGCCGGAGTGGGACAGGTGAAGGGAGCAGCGTGTGAACGGAGCGGACGCAGCCCCCGAGCGCGGCTGTGGGAGCACCCGCGCCAGCAGTCGAGCCCATTCCCGGGAAAGGCTCCCGGAGACGCAGAGTCCCGCAGCGGCTCCACCCGGGCGGCAGGTGCCCGAGCTGCCGGCGCCGCAGGTGAGCCCTTCTCCTCCTGCTCTTTTACATCACTTTTGTGCCACTCCCCGCTCCCTCCGTTTCCCTTTACATCCCCACCGCCCGTTTGTTTGTTTTTCTTAAAATTACAGATGCAGGGAAAACCGCCTGACATCATGGGAGCGGGACAAGCGCGCACTTTGAAGGGCTCCTGGGCAGGACTTCAAGTGAAATCATACGCCGGGGAGGAATCCGATACCGGCTTGGAGAAAGCAGCGGGGCGGCCCCTGCCAAACCGAGGAATGCGCGAGGGCCCGGGGCCGGCGCCCCCCGCCCGCCGCCCCGCAGGAGGCGCAGCGCCGGCACCGCCGCTCCGCGCCCCGCCAGCTCCGCCGTGGACGCGGCGCTGCGACGGGGCGGCTGCGCGGGCCACGGACCGCTTCTGATTCTGAGAATAAACGGGACAGACTGATGCCTCGGAGAAAGAAGTGAAATCAATCAGGACTTTCAAAGGCAGAGTTAATTTTCCGATTGCAAGAGTGTTAAAAATTCCCAGAAGGCAAATTAATATACACATTATTTCTTTTTTCCTTCAGTAAGCCTGACGCTGACTTAATCGCTTTTGGCTTTAGCACCAGGAGCACCAGGCCTCTGCAATCCCCAGTTCCAGCCCAGGAAAGGGTACGCTTGTATTTTTAAAAAGGATTTACCTCCTTTTAATGATTTTTTTTTTTTTTTAATGAAGCAAGGCTGGCAGTTGGTAGCCGGGAAAGCGCACCGACTGAGTGCCTGGTGCCCGGGAGTGCTGCGACGCCGGCAGGGGCTCGGTCGGAGGGACACAGGGGTGGAGGTTGGGAGACCTGCCAGTGGCATGAGCCCCACGGACAGGAATTGGGGATTTTTTTCTCTCGGGTGTTCAGCTTGCTCCAAACGTTTCGCACCGTCTGGGTCAGGGGCCTCTTGCTGGTTACAACAGGGTCAATCAGGTTTAACTCCATCAAGTGGGGTTGCTCCGGATTTTTAAGGAAGAGTAGTTTGGTTCGTGGTTTTTGAAGTGTACTTGATTCCTCACTCATATTTCGCAGGAATCCCCTTCCATGAAACGCACCTTCCCCTCAAACCCGAGCAGCTCATCTCGTTTTCGGTTTTTCGTTGGTTTGTTTTTTTTTCCCCTAACGTGTTTTCTTCCTAAACGTGAGGAGTTCCCCCCCTCCCCGCTTTCCCCGGTGTGATTTCTCCCCCAAAAGGAACAACTGAAACCTCCCACAACCTCTCAAATCCCTCCAGCTCCACTACCAAAGTCGCGTCGGGTCCCCATGCCTCTCGCTTTCTCTGCAGCCGAGACATTACCTCCTCCTTGTCAGTCGGGTGCATCGGAGCGGGTGTTTGGAGTCGCTGAGCGAGGACCTGCGGGTGCCCGGGTGCCGGGGAAAAGCAGCGGCCCCCTGCGAAATCGCAGCAGCTCTCCCTCCTCTCTATCACGGAGGGCTGCGACCACCAGGGCCCCCATGTAATTTTCAAGTCCTTGCTAATCCGGCAGCGCAAAGAAGCTCTGCAGGCTCTCTACTGTAAACATTGCGCACTGGCCTACAATATGTGCGATATTAAATTCATAATACTATTATGTCAGCAATACACGGCAATGCGTGGATACGGAAACAAAACCAGTCAGACAATGAAGACAACTCAACACGGGCTATGCAAACAGGTTCTGCTTTGAGAAAACACCCCATCCTATTTATCCTAGATACTGGCCGAACCCCGGCGGCAGGGTCCCTGTCTCCGCTGAGGACACTGCTCAGCTCTCAGCACACCCACGCATCCTTCGCGGCCACGGAAGGGCAGGAGGTGCCACTCCACGCGCACCGCCAGGCTGCCAAGGGCTGGGAAATGAGCAAGTGACAGCAGAGGTGGAATGAGCTGTCCGGTTATAGGGGTTGAGTTTTGGTTTGGGTTGTTTTGTTGTTTGGGCTTTTTTTTTTTAACAACTTCCCTTTCACCTTCTTTCCGAGCCCTCAGATCTGGAAATTCTCTCTCTCTTGCAGCTGGGGTCTCGCCGCATACTGGGACCTTGTGGAGGGTATGGTGAGAAGAAAGAGGGGCAACATGCCCCCTACACTTAGAAAAGGAGAAGAGGGCGGATTAGCATATCCTCCGTGCTTCGCACAATGAAAATGTGATCGCTAGTATATATATTATATTAAACCCTGGAGAGCAGACCAGTCAAACATCACTTCCACCGGAAAACCCCACTCGCTACACACTTCCCTGTTTCAATCTCACTTTCTCTTGCTTTGCCTGTGAATGGACGAATCTCTGCTTAAAACCGATACCTCTTCCTCAGGGATATCAGCAAAAATACCTACACCAGGGGCTGAGGAATGGGACCTGCTCCTGCCTCACATCTGGAGGCAAAACACAGCAGCAAGTGCCAGAGTTCTGCAGCGAAAACTCTACTCCCCGCACAACTCCGCTATGTTTGGTTTTAAGACTAAATGGGGAGAGGGAGAGAAAGAGAGAAGAGACAACACTTTCCTCTGCAGATTCAGTGAGCTTCAGCGCAGAACAATAAAGCTGTCTCAATAAATAACGTACCTGTGTCTGTCAGTAGCTAGTTTATTTGCTTTTTTCTTCTGATTTGTTTATACTAGTGATCCCTCTCTCTTGGGTGTCTTTACAGCTCAACAAGCAGGTATGCATCTCAAATTCGACCCTGAGTTCTCAGATAGACAAAACTTTAAGGTTATTAAAATTTCAATCATATTTATTTATTGCAGAAAAATAATATACAATGATATTTACAAAACAATCATAAAAATAGGAATGCATTTAGACACCGGATCTATTTGCATTTTAACATGGGTCATCAATAAATAAATAAAATGTTTATTTTTTTTCTCAGAGGAAAAATAATAATAATAAAAAAGTTAGGAACCGGGTGTATAACAGCTTGAGCCCAGCTTATTCCCCCCTAAAAAAAAAAAAAAAAAAAAAAAAAAGTTTTCATCTCTACAGGGATATTTTTGGTTGTCTGGTTGGTTTCATTCAAGAATGAAGAAAGTCCACAATAATGTATTTCCTTTAATCAGTGGCTCACAGGCACGACCTCTTGGGAATGCATGCAAAAAAAAGGGCATATAAAATAAAAAAAAGTTCAATTCCAACATTCTTCGTCAAAAATTAAAAAAAAAAAATCGAACGATTCAGACTTCTATCAGAATGCAGAGATGTGTGTACTGTACCGACGCCCAAAGGGTAGTCACTGTCCAAAGCCCTTGTCTCTTTCTCTTTCCTTAAGTGCTCCCCACGCCCTGCTTAGAATTTGCATATTGCTCTTCTAATTTCCAAGAAATCCTTGGTACATTTTTTGTTAAACAAGACCAAAAAAAGAGAATCGTATCCAACTTCAGAGTCTCTAGATTGTCCATTTTCTCCTTCTGTGGGAACAATGTCATCTGCAAAAACCCAGAGAGGGCGGAAAACTCGTTACTTAAATGAAAGATACACACACATCTATCTACACCTCTCTGTCTCTGGAAATACACGTATCGGGCAGGAATGAAGAAGGAAGAACCCGCCGTGCGATGACCGTGTGACACCCCAGCCCGGCAGCCCGCGGTGTCAGAGCCGAGGGAAGGGACTGCTGGGGCGATAGGAAACGTTCATCGGGCAGCACAACTGACGGACATGGATTCACTTCAAAATACGAGCAGCAGCAGCAGCAGCGGCAGCAGCAGGAGCCATCCCAGCAGCTCTGCTGGCTCCGCGGCGTTTGGTGAAAAAGTGATCTCCGGCCGGCCCCATCTGGCTGGGGCACACCCGCACCGCCGCCGCCTCCCGCCCGCAGCCCACCCCGCCTGCCGCCGGCAGCGCCCGCCACGCGTGGGCCCCGCGGGGCCGGGGGCGCACCTCGGGCCGCGCAGGAGGAGGGACTCGCCGGGCTGGGGGAAGCACCTCCAGAGGCACCTCCAACCACCCCGCTCTCCGGCTGGTCCTGGAAGCCAGGCCCCTCCGGACGGGGTGGGGGCCTTGTCGCCCCTCGGCCACGCGTGCCCGGCCCACGGCGCAGCCGGCGGCCTCTCGCCTTCCCCCCTTTCTCCCCGCCGGTTTCGGGGTCCCTGCCTTACCTAGGGCTCCTGCCGGGGGGATGCGGGTGGGGGACGCCGCCTGCTAGTGGGATGCGGACATGGACCAGGCGCCCTCCATTCTCCACACCGAGAAGGCGTAGCTGAGCCGCTCGTGGGCCACATAGCTGCAGCTTGCCATCTTGGAGTCCAGCTCGTCGCTCTGTAAGACCTGGTAGAGGAAGTCGATGTACCTGGCCGCCAGCTTGAGAGTCTGGATCTTGCTCAGCTTGTCCGAGGGCAGAGTGGGGATGATCTTCCGCAGTGCGGCGAAGGCTTCGTTCAGCGACTGCGTGCGCTGCCGCTCCCGCACGTTGGCCATGACCCTCTGGGTCTGCAGCTCCTCGTAGGACTGGGGGCTGCCGCCGCCACTGCTGCTGCCGCCGCCCCCGCCGCCCCCGCCCGCCCCGCACTTCTTGCCCCGCTTGCCTTGGGCCGGGCTGCAGGGCTCGTCCGCGGCCCCGACGGCGCCGCCGGCGCTGCGGCGGCTGGAGCGGCGCTTGCGCCCCCCTCTCTTGTTGTTGGGCAGCTGCTGCCGGTCCGGCTCCTCTTCGCTGTTGCTCAAGCTGTCGTCGGCGGGGGAGACTGGAGAGTTTGACTCGTCCTGCTGCATCATCTCTGGGGGGAGACGCGAGAAGCGGGCCGGGAGGGGGGGGAGGGCAGGGAGAAGAGGGGGGCACCTAACCCGCCAGCTCCCCCTTGATCGGCTGCTTCGCTGGCCTGCGAGAAGAAGGAGGAGGAGGAGGAAGGGAGGGAGGGAGGACCTCACTTTGGGGGGAGGGGGGATGGCATTAGGATCCAAGAGGAAAAAATATGAAAACGCCAACCAAAAAAAAAATCCCTCCCGATCCCTCCTTGGAGCCCCTTCGAAGTGTCTGGGATTGGGAGAAAGTTGAAGACTTGGAGGTTCTTATAGCTCCTGCTGGCGGAAAGTTTGGGGGCAGCAGTGTCATTGGCCTGACGTGGAGAGGAGGGACTTTTGCTGAGTTTTATAGGAAAGTTTCCGCTTCCCCCCCTCCACGCCCTCCCCCAATTATTTTTTTCAAGCCATTCACGAGTGATCTGGCCTCCCCCCCCCTCACACACATACATCCTTACCCCAACGTCTTTCTCGGTTTCCCTCTCCGCGGTTTCTCCCTCAGGCTCCTTCGGTTCGCGCTCGGCCTTGGAGTGCTGCTGAGGGGCCGGGCCGGGCCGTTATGGGGGTGCCCGACACCCCGTGCTCTGCTGCGGAGGGGACAGCGGGGCCGCTTAGTGCCTGCACTGGGGGGCGAAGACCCCATAGCAGCTGGGGAAGCCCACATCTCTCGGGCTTTCCTCGCCGCAGCGGGCACGGCTTGCAGCGAAAAAGAGGAAAGGGAAATTACCCACGGGACAGCATCCAGGCACATCCTAATTTTGTCCCGCTCTAGCACACGCCGCACTCCCATCACCGAGCGCCCCCGGGGTCTGACTTGCCGAGAGAGTCGTACATCTCTGGTCTGGGGAGAGGTGGAGGCACAGCCTCGTCTCTTTAGGCTGGAGGACTGCGCTTGGAGAAAGTCATCTTCAGAGGTGGGAGCAGCGGGAAAATTAAGCACTGGCTTCGTACGTACATAAGCATCAGTCCTTGAGCTCGTCTTAAGAGAAACCCGGGAGGTTCTGCGTGCCCAACCTGGCACACAGGGAGATGGAAGGGTGTGCAAACCCTCTCTGCCCACACTCCGTGTCTACTGACCACTCACTTCAGTTCGTCCTCCCTCAAGGCGCCAAAGTCCGAGTCACTTCCTGGGAAAGGAGCTTATTTATTTTAATTTCTCTTTTATGTTTAGAGCCAAAGTAATTTCTCCCCAACCCCCGCCTTTGTGCCTCCTTCCCCGCTCGCTGGCAGTACAGAGCAGGTGGTGTGTCTTTTTAACAACAGCTCAGATTCAAACGGGGAACGCCTGGGAGGGAAAGATAGAAATTACCATCCCTGAGTAAATGGGGTGAAGCACTTTCGCTGCTCCCTGCGCGGGGACAGTATGCCTGCCCTGCCGGCCTGGCAGCCACTGCCTAGACGGGCAGCGCCGGGTGCGGGGCAGAGCGGGCAGAGCCAGCAGCGCCGTGGCTTCCCGGCTTGTTTGAGGTGTGAGTGCCGTCTGGGAGAACGGAATAGCAGAGGAGTGAAAAATGTCCTTGTCTGGGACAAAAAACTCGAGGCTTCTGGAAGAGCGCTGTCATCTTTTCCGGGGAAAAGAACTGTCACTCCCCCCTGCCTGGGGGCTCCCTGTCCCGGGACCTGACACGGGCCAGGACCTCGGCGCGGCCGCTGTCGAGGGGCAGCGGGCCCAGCGCGGCCGATGGCCCCGGTACCCGCCGCAGCGCCCGTCGGGCACCCGTCGGCGCCGGAGCTGTCCCGACGCTCCTCCGCTCGCTGCTCCCCTGGGAGACCTCTCCTCCTCGGGTCTTCCATCCCGCGGTGCGAGTATATAGCAGTCTGCCCTAAGCCTTATCTTTTGGGAAACAGCTGGAAACAAGACGGGAGAGAAGAAAGCGACCGACTTAGCCGGCAAAGGAAGACATGCCGCCATACAGACGTACAACGAGCCAGCATAGCTTCCCCGGCTTTCGGCTTGTCCTTGCTGTGTCTGTTGCGACCGCAGGCCTCTCTACTCAACACCATGGCTTGTTCGGGGAGCTTCAGAGGTTCCCTTGTGTTGGCTGTAGCTGCTGCCCCCAAGGTAAGAAGAACTGGCTCTCCTTTCACCTCCTTCTCACCAGTAATTTTGTCTCTACCCAGAGCCTCAGTGCTCCTCTGGGGTGTTGAGCAGTGTCATTACAGACCAAAGGTTGGAAACAGTAGTAGTGAGCATCTGTAGGTGGCTGTTGGGGCCTTCCTTCCTTCCTTTCCTTCCTTCTTTTCCTTCCTTCCTTTCCTTCCTTTCCTTCCTTCCTTCCTTCCTTTTCTTCCCTTTCATCCTTTCCTTTCCTTCCTTCCTTTTCTTCATTTCCTTCCTTTCCTTCCTTCCTTCCTTCCTTCCTCTCTCCCTGCCTCACTTCCTCCCTCCGTCTCTCCCATTCTTCTTATGGAAAAAAACGTTGAAGTGCAAATCAAACCTGGATAACTATCACCTTGCTTGGAACAGGATGCTGTCTGAAAGGAGAGAGAGGCAGCACCTCCTGAGGTGATTCAGCAGGAGGCACCACTTGTCTGCGTCACCCGAACTTTGAGTGGGATGCAGGACATCGCCTGCTTGTCATGGGGCGGGAGGAGGGTGTGTAGAGCAGGGTGTGAGGGAGAGGCAAGGACAGGTGGAGAAGCAGTCTTACATGGTTTGCAAAGGCAGAATGTGTGGAGAAATGTAGGGAGGGACTGAGTTGAGGAGAGGGGTTGACTGTAGTAGATGGTTCAGTGTTAGCTACTCTTCATGGAAACTGCAGCAAAAACAACCAGCTAACAGTGGTTAGCAGGACTCATGTGGTACTACCTAGGACCTGCACACTGCTCTATGAACTATGACTGCACAGAAAATCACATCATTTTCATTTTGGCTTTTGTTTCATCTTTGACTCACAAACTATGGGCTCAGGAACAAAGGAAACTAAGCCCATAGTGTTACTGCCAAGACCCACACAGGAGTGCAGGGGCCAGATGAGCTGTGGTGGCAATGGTCTGGCCTGGGGGACCTGCTGCTGGGCTGGCTGTTGAAGCCTGCCTGGATCTCCCAGGCCTGCTGGCTGGAAGCACACCTGCCTGGTGCTAGGGTGTGTGGAACCATGTCTGGAAGAGGGTGGATGTGTCAGACAGTCATATCTGAGGGTCTGTGTAAGAAAGATATACTGGCTAGTTTCATGTGTGAGAATGTGTTTGTGTGTGCATGCATGTACTGTTGATCTTTTGCACTGTGCACACATGTATATGTGTCAGAGGGAAGGGGAATGAAGTCTGTGAAGATATTAAAGAAAATCAATTAAATTCTGATTTATTTTGAAATATACAGTTCGGATGGGGGTTGAGGTGGAGGCTTTTTGTTCTGCATTAAAACCATAATCATAGTTTAGTTCATGTAGCGTCAGGTCATCTGTTTTGAACCTCCATTAAGCCACTAAGGTAGTCCTGCAGACTACCCTTGAGCATGGGGTAAGGGATTCCATGTCCTGTTCTCTACTATGCATATACATGGCTTGGGTGAGTATTCCTCTGGCTCCTTGGGCAGAATCTCAACCCTTTTTCACTGTTTGGTGGCAGGGTAACAAGCAAAACTGCAAGCTTCCCTGGGCCTCAGCTCAGGAAAATGTGCCCCCTTGCATGGGGTAGTGGCAGGACACAGAGCACTCCAGCATTTTGTCATCTGTCCAGTAAGGTAAACTAACCATCTAGATTACAGGCGTGGGTGTGAACATGGAGCTAAATAAATTACAAACTCCTGGGAAAGCAAAATGAAGAATAAGTTGGGCTGTGATGATCAGCCAAAAGAAATCTCCCCAACTATATGCTGGCCCTTGCGAAGGCACCCATTAGCAGCTGAGGCACTCGCAGGCTGGGACAAGCAGGATCTCCCTTAGCCAGGCAGAACATCATAGCTTTTGAGGGAAGCAGGTCAACAGTTTGATTCTTTCTTTGATTTCTAAGAATGAATAAAGGTTTGATTTTTTTGCCTGCTAATAAATCAGTGGAGAAGTTTAAAAACTAGGGTGCTCAAGATCTGGTGGTTACAACTACAGTGTTGCTCATCAATGTGTTATACACATTGTGCATACACACAAATTACAGCTGTATTGCAATAAAGCTGTTCAGTATTCCCCATGCGGCATACAAATACACACGTTGCAATTTAGCTCTCAAAGACTGCTCACTGTAGTAAAACTCTCTCACTGGTGGCAATTTCTTGGAATATTGAGTAATGTAAGTATTACATATGCGCATATTGAGAGACAGCCTGTCTGAGCGTTTCTGATGCCAAAACCTTCAGTCCAGTGTTTCCTCAGAAGTTGTACCTTTAAGACCTATTGCAAAGGCCACTAAAATCACTTGAAGTTACCCTACTAATTTTTGTGGTCAGGAATTCCTATGCACACTAGGTGAAAGCCTGGTTGAGACCATATCCCTTCAAAGGGGACAAGAGAGCACCTAGCAACTTTCCATACTGACGTTTATGCTGTAATTTGCTCTGTTTTGAAAGCACATCGGGAAACAGGCTCAGAACCCTCCCTGTGCGCTGGTAAAAAGTTGTGCGCAGCAACAGCAAACGGGTGGAAGGAATATATAAAGGGCAGGAGAGCGGGATAAATTTTTCGCCTTCTTTCAACTTTTTTTTTTTTTTTTTTTTATTCCTGATACCGCGGCAGCTCATACAACCAAGGACGTGGAAAAGCTGACAAGCATCTCACGCGATACAGCCTCGCTACCTGGACCCCGCGGGGGTGGGCGCGGTGCTGCTCGGCTCGGCCGGCGAGGCTGGAGCTGCGGGGCCGCCCGGCGGGGCCGGGCAGGGGGCAGAGCGGCGGCCGGGCTGTGCGGCCGGCGGCCACCGGAGGGCACGATTCCCCGCCGGTCCCCGCTACGGCAAGGGGTACGGCTCCCAGGTGAGTCGCTCCCACCTTCAGCAGAGCCAGGCGGGCATCCGCCGTGCTCCTGCGGCAACCCAAGTCCCGCCAGGCTGGGCCACCCGAGCTTCGCGGCTGTGAGGTGCCGCCC